TTTACAAGATGTAATATTAAATTTTGGGGGCAACATAATGTGGTTGCTAATCACATTATTGGCAACTAGTGCATGGCGAAATATATATTAATTGAGTCATCTATATGGCTTGTACGATTTTGACAAAAAATAATAGGGTTGGATCATTAATTTTCCATTTCTTTCAATCAGTGATATTTATTTTAGTCATAACGTTGACATGTTATTAATATATCATTTTGCTAACACGTTATATTGATATAAATTTGATTCTGCAACATATATTTATCCATCGATATAAGAAAAAAAAATATTATGTTTATTCTTGTTCACCATTTATTTAATAGTCAATTATTATTTTATTATAATATTTGTTGTCATATAATGTGATTATTATTATTTATAAAGGTTATAGAAGTGGTCTTCTTCTTCTTAGTTTATGTAATGAGCTTAAAATAAAAAAAATTCTATAAATGTTTACAAAACACACACACATGTTTTTTAGAATTTAATTTTCTCATAATAATTAAAAAAAATTGATTTAGCAAATTGTCAATAATAAACCTTACATAATCAAGAGATTTTTCTAATTTGCATCCTAAGGCTTTATTAGTTTATTTAACATACTATGCAATATAAATATATATTTTAAAATAAATTCATTATGGAAACAGATAAAAATAAAAAAAATGATAAAATTATCATGGTTGACAACAATATACAAATAAATCAAATGTTGAAAATGTAAAGAATAGTTAATATATTTTAATTTTATTATTTAGCCATTAATAAATTATTTAATGATGTGATCATTATCTCTTAAATGGTAAATTATTTTATTTTAAAAAAGTATTTGTTTATATAATTAAATAAAGGTTAAAAAATATTATCGAAAAATATTAATTCATCAACTTGATTTCGGCTAATTAGTTAGAGAGAGAATTATTTAACATGTTACCATTGTTTATAAATATTTTAGAATGAAAGTCAACATTTGTGAAAAAAAAATAATAATATGGTTAAGACTTAAAAGTTGTTTTCATGTTTATGTTGACCAAAATATTATCAACATCAATCACGAAAAATCAAATTATAGTTTATTATAATGGATATCAATAAAATTATTGCATATGTTAATAAAATTATTCAAGGAAAGAATCTTTTTGGTCATATTTGATTTGGAAATGTGTATATTAAAGCAATTAATGCATATATTTAAAAAATTTTCAAATAAAGTATGCATTAAATGTTCATTGACTTTTTTGCTGCTATTTTTGATAAATGTTAATTCTTTTTATATATATATAGATTTGATTAGGGTACGTAAGATTGAGCTAATAGCATAATTTGTAGTTTTGTCATGGTATGATTTTTGGTTATAAAAATATGAGAGTTAATTGTTAAGCCACTCACATCAGATGGCCGATTCACATAAAAAATTGTAGTTTTGAAAATATGATGGCTGATATGGATTTTTGATGCACATTTATAACTTTGCCAATATTCTAAACTTACTAAAATAATGTTGTAGTAGGAGAATCTAAAGGCTAATGGGAATCACATAAGGCGAAAATTCTCCCCTAAAAGTAGACAACAAACTCATCTTTTCACACGATAAACTCATTATTAAGAAGCTAAGCCGCCTTTAAATCATTGGTTACCAAAACACTACTACTTAATTATTCTATTCATCACTTTTTTTAAAAAAAAAAGAAAAAAGAAAAAAATCTTCATTTTTTATCAACATTGTGACCTTAAATACCAATGTCACACTACCAACTAGCCAACAAGAACTCTAAAAGGGTCATCAAGAAAATGTACAAAGCAACGATTGGTCGATTTTTCAGTCGTCCACGCGAATCCCAAGCCTCTCCCCAAACCACTAAAACTCCTTCAAGTCCGAGTCCAATGCTAAGCAAGTCGGCTCATATAGTTAACCATCCTAGTCAAACCGAAACAATCCCTGTAGAATTCGAGCACCATAAAAACCAAAACAACAACAATGTGATGGTTTACTCGTCGAATTTCTACTCAAATGATTTGAGCCAAGAAGTTACTTTGCCTCGAGGTAAGAAATTGGATCATACTAAGACTAACGAAAGGTTTTCTGATTATATTGTGAAGGTCAAGGGCAAGATGAGGACTGCATCGAATGTTGATGCTGTAAGAATCACTGCAAAGAAAACTACTGCTAAAAGAGACAGCTTTAATGATAAGGTGTTGGCTTACATAAATCGAGCTAAGCTCAAGATTAGAACAACAAGTGTTCGCGACGAAAAAGAATTCTAGTTCACTTTTGTGTGCTTTTTTATATTCCCAAGCATTTGCATAACTCCTTATTCTTCCCTATGAAGTTTCAAGCATGAAAAAATTTAAATTTTCATTTTAAGGTGTTGTCATGGATTGTTTGTAATACCAAACAAAAGGTGATTGTTTATATGTAATAGTGATTAATTGTTTATCTATTTCAANTATATGGTTTAGTTGATGAGCTTGGGCCTTGGGCTTATAATAAGAAGGATCTATCTATGTTGTAGCCCATTACTAGCATTCTAAGTGAAGCCCAGGCAATAAAACTCGAAAATTTTTGTGTAGATAGACACACAAAGTTTATTAAATCTTTTATATATAGGTTTTATATATATGCACCCAAATCACACACGATTTATTATATAAATAATAAATGCATATGAAATATAGGAAAGATGTGGGCACAGTTGAAATTAATATATAATTTAAATTAATGATACTGTCTGGCCCAGGGATCTCAGTAGTTATTGACTTATTTCTTTTGTTTCCCACTGTTATTTTTTTTAAATAAAATATTTTCTATTTAGTATGCAGCACTTGTTAGAAAGTCTGCAAAGTAGTAATTTATTTTAAAGTTCAGTTATGCCTTTATGCAAACCATAACCCATACTAGACAGTGAAAGCAATGCATCATTTATCATTTTGACTTTTTTTCTTTTTTATTGCCAAGCAATTATGAAAAACTTAATTACTTTATTTTCTTATTTGATATAAAATTATAACAAAGTTTTCCAGTTAGTATACAATGCCTATATAATATATACCTATAGGGAAATGCTCACATGCCCACGATGAGCACATGTTAATATGTCCACTGCTGATGTGGCATGCACACATTGGTGATGTTAATATGTTAAAAAAATAAATCACCAATGTGTGCATGCCACATAAGTCGGTGGGCATATTAACATGTGCCCACCGTAGGCATGTGAGCATCTCTATATCTATATGAAAAAGAATTAGAATTACTTAAACTAAATTGTGCCACCACCAAATTTAATTTTACACTAAAGATTTGAAATATATTTACACTAATTTTTTCCAGCACATTCCAACTGAAACTCAATTTCAAATTATTTTTGATTGGTTCTCCTGTTAAATATCATTGAATTGTTCAACATAATACTTTTCAATCAAAAATTTATGTTTAACATGGCCATCAAGAATAGACATTTGTCGATTTAACCCTACCGTTGACTACAATCATCGGATTTTCTTTTCGTTGGATCGAAATAATAACTGTATTTTATTTATTTTTTACCGTTGTATCAACACATTGTATTAATTTACTCAATATGTAGATTTACGGTTAAAAAATATAATAAATGCTCTGCCTGCCGTCATCGATAGAGTCGAATAACACCATTATTTATATTAGATTTGTTTTTTTTTTTNTCAATGGTCAATAGCTAAAAACCAATGCTGACATGTACAATGATGTCATTATGTGTGTGTATATGAATAAGACCACATGTATCTCTTCACAGATATTATTAAATAATAAACAAATATATATTGGCAAATAAAATAAAAATTGACCCACAAAGAGAGAAAATTTCAAATTGGGCTTTTCTATTATCTGTATTCTGTACCCACTCACAGGCGTGCTGAGGGTCTCTTTCCCTTTTTGTGTTCTTTAAGAGACATTTTTCTTGGAACAACATTATCCTTCAAAAGTCAATTACTATATAGGTTTCTAAAATAGTAGTTATATTGTTAAAATAAAATAAATATAACACTTTACCCCACACAGAAAAATATCTCTCCAGCATGTACTACTGATCACTTCATGGAAATCTTGTGAAAACAATTATAAAACATGATTCTGAACAAACAAAAATAAAAATAAAAAAAATAGTACAAAACGTGTTTTTACTACCAAATATTCAGAAATTATGACAAGTCAAATGTATAATTCATGGTGAATTTTTAAAAATTGGGCTATCAAAACAATGAAACGTTACTTTTTAATTAAAAAATATATTATTTCAAATTAAAATTTGATAACTTATTCTTCTACAGTGGATCAAAAAATATAACCCGAGTTTATGAAAATTTAGTTCAAGTAAACTATCAGGGCAATATGAAGATAAATATTGATAGTTTAATTTCGTGCACGAAATTCATGAGAAGTTGGAATTGAATGGTGGTCAAAAAGTTAGGGCATGCTTGTTTATAAATTATTTCATTCTCATTCAATCCATACTTAAAATATAACTCAACTTTAATCCAACCTTACTATCTTTAATATTATTCATATAATTAAATTATACAAATCAATCATTTTTACACATCACATCAACTTTAATTCACTATTTATCCACTCATATGATTTTAACTACTTATCATTTCCAATCATTTTCAATCATTTATCTCCTACTTTTACATCAAATCAATTTTAATTATTTTATTTTAAATATTATTTTAATACATTCTTAAAATTCCACTAACAACTAATCATACAACTTTTTTCAAAATTAACTATGATTAACCAAAATAACTCATTTTGAATAAATTATTCCATAAACAAGCGCCCCCTTAAATAGTTGAAAAGATTGTTGGCCCCGTGAAGCACTTACGAGTTACGAATATGAATAAAAACTATTTAGGCTTTAACTAGTTGTAAGCTCGGCTCAACTTTTTAACTAAACGAGCTAGAACTTTAAACGAGTCAAGTATAATTCGAGCATTAGTCGACTTCACAAACAACTCATTTCGAGTCAAGTATAATTCGAGCATTAGTCGACTTCACAAACAACTCATTTCATACTAACATTTGAAAATTATATTTAACATATTTGGCCCAAATTTTGTCACTGTGTTTGTTAATAGCATGAAAATTGTTGGGGACTCTAGGGTTTTCATCTAAAGGTTTTTGATTGTGTGGAGACTTTTGACAAGGACAAGAGTGTTGTGTATTGTGACTTCAATTTGATTGATGAGTTGAAAATACACGGGAGTTAGTTCAAAAGACTGAAGAAGATATTTGCTGAATATTTTCAAACTAGTACAATACTCGGCCCGTGTATTACATGGGTGTTGAATTAGAAAACTTTTTGTAAAACATGATAAATTTTTTATTTTTTTTAAAAAACTAAAATAATTTAATTTTATATAAAACATTACTTTAGGTTTTAATTAATTGTCAAATTATATTTTTTTAATCATAATTATTTAAAACACGTACATTAAATGAAAATGTCTACCTGTGTTGAATATTTTTACTTATATCATATAAAAATATCGATAATATTTACTATTACATAAGTACAAAAATATATATCTTAATAAATAGAAATAATATAATGATATGTATATGCATAAATGTAGAATATATTTATTTGATATTAAGCAAAATAGATTAATTTTTTTACTTAATTAGATGCCTAATACATCAAGGGTCGTATCAATCATATTTTACAGTTTTTTAACTTTTTATGTAATTTTAAAATTTAGATAAATAATTATTTATTTTTATTACATTGACAACATACCAATTAAATTTGAAATAAATGTCATAATAAATAAACACCCGTACATTAAATGAAAATGTCAACCCGTATTATTATTATTATGAAGATAAATTATAAGGATAAATATAATTTATTTATTTTATATATACAATATGGATGTCAAATCGAAATTCATCAAAATATGATTAATTAATATATTATATATGTAAAACCGATAAGAAATACAAAAATTATCAACTTTTAAAAATATTTGCAATTCATTGGTTATAATAGGAAATGATATTAAAATACAATTAATACAAATATTAATTTGTATCTAAACCTAACTCCAAACCATGATTTTTTGCCAAATAGGATTTCGAAGCATGAGAGTTTGTCACGTAGGTTCAGCGCATTCTGAAATTATATATAGATGGGATATAAATAATTATTTATTTTTATTACATTGACAACATACCAATTAGATTTGAAATAAGTATATAATAAATAAACACCCGTACATTAAATGAAAATGTCAACCCGTATTATTATTATTATGAAGATAAATATAATTTATTTATTTTATATATACAATATGGATGTTGATGGGTCTACTCCTAGATCTGAAGAGCACCGGTGGATTTGAGCTCAGATCTGCTTGAACTGCCTCTGAATTGTTGCTAGACCGTGAGAATACCTGCAAAAACTCAACGCCAGAAGTGTTTCCGGCGTAAAGCCTCCGACGCTCAAGTCAGTATCAGAGAGATGAAGGGATGTTGCACAGCAGCTATGAGGAGAGTATGGAATGAATGAGAGTTAGGGTTTAGGGTTACCTCATCTCCTATATATAGGAGTGAATACTTACTTGAAGTACCTGAAATGCCCAAGTCGGTGGACCTAAAAGGTCTAAAATGCCCCGGTCGGTTCTCCTCTTGCTGCTGAGTGATCACAAGATTCTCCTTTATTCCTTGAAAGATGTAGAGCTTCAAGTGTGATGAGTCGTTATCACGTCTTTGGTCTTCGAGGCGTATTGAGTTGGCCTCGAGAGCTAAGAGGTCGACTTATGATCATATGAGGATTCGGAGGCTACGCTTGGTTAGTTCCCTCAAGTGGAAGTCGTCTTAAGAGAGTCGACTTAGTGAAGTCGACTGCTGGGAGTCGACTCAGGGTATCTGAATGCTCGGAGTTTACGTTCTTATTGTTCTTATGCAGGTGTCGACTATTGAAAGTCGACATACTGAGGTCGACCTGAGAGAGTCGACTGGCCAGACTTCCGCCTCTTCACGGCCGTTCTACGTTAGAGTCGACTTTGCGGAAGTCGATTGGAGTTTGTCGATGAGAACATATCGCCATGTGGACGGTCTGTGTGGTTACCCGGTCGAGTTAGGGGCTTTAGAGCCGGTATATGGTAATATGGGTATATCAGATGTCAAATCGAAATTCATCAAAATATGATTAATTTAATATATTATATATGTAAAACAGATAAGAAATACAAAAGTTATCAATTTTTAAAAATATTTGCAA